TATATATGGCAATGAGAAATTTGGCAGTGTTAATCATCTTTTTCCAGAAATAGATTAGAATAAAATCTTAAAGCTTCAATTGTGTCATCTCTACATGCTTTTCCCCTTTTTTCTGTAACTAGTAGCCTCTCACGTGCTAAAAGGACTGATATACCTTCTGATTGAGCAAGTTCTTCTGCTGTTAGAGAGCCTCTTTCTTTTATCTAAAGAGTAAATAAAGTTAAGCTTTCTATAAAAAACTGTTTAAATTATTTACTTACCAGGTCAGCTATAACATCAACTATGGCATTATCATCATGTGATCTAGATTGAAGAACCATAACTCCACTATCAAACATTCTTAATACTATAGGTAAACTCAAAGATGCTAGTTGTCTACTAGCATTTAGTAAATCTTCTGGTGAAAGAAGTTCTAAGCCTCTAGCTCTATTTACACGACAGTAAACATCTGTTAATGTCATCATTCCACCAACTTCCTGTAGAATGAAATTTATAAAATATCTATCATGTAATTTTAGTAATGTTTATTAGAAATATTAACTTTAATTGGCTCTTCTAAAATATTTGCAAGTTGTATAGCCAATTGTTTGAAATATTCGTTACTATTCTTATATGCATCTCTGGTGACAGGGTCATCAATGCCAAGACTCATTAAGTAAGACTTAAATCTAACTGTTTCATCCTCTGTGATATCTCCTTGTCTCTCCTGCAATGGTCTTTGATTATGAATGTCAATTTTACAAAGTAATCTTGTCGAGAATCACCCGTATTTTTGCTGAGATAGTTTTTGAAATGGAAACCATGTCTTTGGCCACTTCCATAAGCTTCTTAAGATCTTGAAAGGCCATTGATATACTTTCATCTGTTGCTTTTTGTTGTTCCTGAAGGCTTCTTTCAATACCTATAATACCAGTTCTTGTCTTTATTTGTGGTAGAGGTTTATTAATGTCTCCACTATTTTTTGTATTATTATCAGGATGATTTAAAGGCATGATAGGTGTAAATTCCCAAATTCGTCTCATAATAGCATCAGACAAATGTGTATGAAAATTTGGATCTAGACCTTCTTTAAATGAGAATTTAATATAATTATATATACTATTATCTAATGGACCAGGCATTTTATCTAAAAAGCAAAATATTTTTATAAAACTATGTAATTTTAACATCTTAATTTGGAACTATTATTAATTGTAGCATACCAATTGGAGCCTCAGAAAGATGTATTATGATCTTTTTGCTACGTCCAAAGGAAAATGGACCAGGAACTTCTTCCTCGAAGAAAACTATATGACGGAGAGATAATGAAAGACATGTGTGACCGCGCGATATATCACCAGGTTTCCCCCAAAGGAATCTGTGACTGGTAAGTACTAATTCACCACTTTCAAAATTTGTCTGTCAAAAAGTTGAAGGTTATGTTTTACTCTTATGCTATGATTAATATACATACCTTAACATCACCATCGTATATGCATATGCCAATGTCGCGTCGTATATAAATTTCATTATGAAAAAGTCGAGAATCAGCATATTCAAATCTATTCATTATTTTCAAAGACCAAAGTGGAGGAAATCAAGATTTTTATAAAGATACGTAAAAAAACAGTTTTTTCTGAACGTGAATTGCTTTTGTGGCAATTTTGACGTATCCTAACCGCAAGATGTCCTTCCATTTCTCCACAATTTACCTCTACCCTTATGGTAAATCGTTAATATATTTTATTCAAATTGCGTTTCTTAATTAATATAGTGAATTCAATGGTTGATGTAGTATAACTGATTTGATTTTGTAATTTTTTTTACTTCCAATTATAATAAATAATAAATGAAAATCTTTACATTCAAGAAATGAAACTTGGAAATTGCAATACCTGCATAAAAATTATAGGAATTAGAGGTAATAATTATGAAGTGGATGACATTAGTTATTACTTTAAATATATTTGTTTCGAATTTATTCAGTAAACGAATCGTGTAAATAGAACCGCAACCATGATTAACAATGATCATGTATAGTTAATAGTACGTGATTCTCCGTGTACTTATTACACGCTTGTATAGTGATTAACGTTTTTTTTTTTTTT